GTTTTTCCATTATTTTTTAAAAATTGATTTTTTGGCAAAAATGTAATTTTCCAAAGAAAACTTTCCAAGTTTTTTTTTTTGTAAAGAGGTGTACATTAGATTATACATTAAAGAAGTATACTTTTTTCCTTCTGAACTTTTAACTGAAGCTGCTCACAGATGTCTATTTTATTAAAGCCGCATCTTTTGGCACTGAAACAAATGCAGCCATTGTGTTGCTGCTTTCCATAAGGAACAGAAGGTGAACTGAAACCATTCAAAGAAGCCCAGTCCAATTTCCTGAAGGCAACTGGAGATCCTATGTATGTTGATAGCCACCTACTCTGATTTTCAGACTTACAGTGGGTAATCAGCTCCCACTGGTATAAAACAAAGGAAACAGAAGTGAAAAATAGCTCATCATCCCGGTCGTGCCTCACTGTCACCTGCATGGTGATTACCATGATTACACTAATGCGCCTATCTGGCCTTGGAAGTAAATACACAGGAGGTTGATGCTGCTTTTATTTCCAAAGCACAGTGCTGGGAGGAGCTGTGGAAACAGCTGGCATGAGGAAAGTGTCCCTGGCCAAGCCCCAGACAGGGGGGGACAGCATCTAAAATGAGGTTTTAGCCACCTCATTTACAGGCAGCGTGAGTGACCTAGGAGCTTTGTGTACCTGTGGTGTGAGCGTGGGGTTGTGGCTGCAGGTGGGTCCCATTGCAACATCAAACTGGCTGGCATCACATTGATCATTTAGTGTAAAGCAACTTGAGAGCTGCTCTAGGTTATGCCAAAGACATAGGCAAGAGCAAGCCCACTTCTCTTGGAGAAAAAACCCCGGTGTTTTCAGGCTACTTTTGCACCCTGCATTTGGGGCATGTAATCCTCCGCTGTAGCCACAGAGTGGGGCCGTTGTTTTTGGAAGCCTACAAAGGGCAGTGGATGTGAAAAGGTCATTCAGCTGGGGAAGCAGCTGGGCTGTGATTCACTATGTTTCCTTAGACAAGCATAACAGATGCAGTGAAAACAGTCCTATCAAGAAAAATGGGAGGTATATGGACCTCATAAATAACCTTCCCACGCAGATGTCATTCCCAGTGCTCTCACAAAACAAAACAAAACAAAGCAAAACAAAACAAAACAAAAAAAAAAAAAAAAAAAAAAAAAAAAAAAAAAAAAAAAAAAAAAAAAAAGAAAAAAAAAGACTGAAGGAAAAAAGCTCAAATATGGCACAGCATGATGCTCCATGGGAATTTGGCCTTGCCAGAGTACCACAGGGTTAGACAGTGAGAGCAGGGCAAACAAGCTGCACAGAGGGGGAATTACAATTATTCCCAAGTTAAAAGATATCTATAGGAAATCCAGACAAGACTTTCAGCTTACAGAGAGAAACCTTTCAGGTGAGCTGGCAGACAGAGAAGGGATGAACGGTGAAAATAATTCTGGTGGAATAAACTCTTGACAGTTGAAGAGTTGTTAAGTGGCACTAAGAGCATCATATGTTTCAGGATGGGAATAATTTGGTAGTGTTGAGGACAAACTAATATGATGGGTTAGTTTGACAAGTAGGGCCAAGGTGGCCAGCAGTATAAGAGAGTCCTAGATATAGAGCCTGCTACAGCCTTCACCAAGTACTCTTGGATTAAATATGCTTAAATGGACCATATTTGTGGAACTTTTCTCATCCCTGCTTTATCCACATTTTTCTTCCTATATATTTCCAAGTATACTTTGCAACTACCAACTACCTGATGCCATACAGTCTTGGAGTCAAATATTACCAAAGCTAATGGCACTGTTGGAGTCAGAGGGCTTAGTAAAAACTAAAAGGGCTCAGGGCAAGAGTTGACTGTTAAATGTCAAAATTGCAAAAAAACCCCACACCACAACAGTGGGAAAGCTGGAAAAATATGTGGCTGCAGGCAGAAGGGAGAGCAGAGCAGCTCTTTAATAACAAATTATTGAACAAATCACCTCCTTACTCAGCTCCAGGGATGAGAAAACACATCAGGAGGAGGCAGCAAGCCAGAAGCCACTGAGTTTTTGCACTGATGTTGTCTATAGGATCACAGCATGGATAGGGGACCTCTGAGGATTATCTGGTCCAGCCCTCTTGCCCAAAGCAGGGTGAGCTGCAGGGAGGTCAATGCATGCAGATACCACAGCCCCTCTGGGCAGCCTATGCCAGTGTTTGACTACCCTCATAGTAAAATATTTTCTTGTGATCAGGTTGAATTTCCTGTGTTTCAGTTTGGTCCCATTGACTCTTGTCCTGTCATTGGGCATCACCAGGAAGACCCTGGCTCCCTCTTCTTCCTCTCTCTCATGAGGTATTTATACATATTGATGGGATCCTTCTGAGCCTTCTCTAGACTAAACAGTCCCAGGTTTCTCAGCCTCTTCTCACATGAGAGATGCTCCATCCCTTAATCATCTTAGTAGCCAAGCACTGGCCACTGCAGTATCTCCACATCTCTCTTCTACTGGGGACCCCAGGAATGGACACAGGGAAAAAAAAATCCTGATAGAATAGAATAGAATAGAATAGAATAGAATAGAATAGAATAGAATAGAATAGAATAGAATAGAATAGAATATTTTTCCTTGGAAGGGACCTACAGTGACCATCTAGTCCAACTCACTGACCAATCCAGGGTTGACCAACAGTTAGAACATGTTAAAGGGAATTGTCCAAGTGCCTCTTAAACACTGACAGGCTGGGGGTATCAACCACCTGTCTAGGAATCCTGTTCCACTGTTCTCGAGTTAACTCATGCTGAGGTTCTCAGATTGGTTTGTTTTTTCTTTCCTCTTTTTTTTTTCTTGAAGAACTGGTACTTAGCAATCCTCAAAAATGCCATGGTACTTCTTGCCTGTGGCTTCTCCTGACCCTATTTTGTTGGATCCTACTTGTTTCTACTCAAATCTGTCCTGAAGAGAACAGGTGCAACTCAGCTGAAATCACGATGACTACACAATCCCATATGTCACTGCAGAGTGGGAAAAAATTAACAGCATCTAGTAAACTACAAAGCAAAATCAAATGTGTGGTTTCAGTTATCGTTGCAACTTTTTGCAGTCTGAAAAATACTTTTTGGTCTTCTGAAGTTTGACAACAGCCAATTGAACAAAGCCAATGGGGTTTCAACAGTCTGTATTTTAGTATTAAATGCCTCTATATCTGCAAGCATAAACACATTGCTGGGAACAAATACCCATCTCAACCTCTGGTCTCATCTCTGGTTTTGATTAAATTCCTGCATTTGTAGCAGAGGAAGCAACAAATTTACAACTTTGTCAGTAAGAGAAAATAGTTGAACAGTTGCCCTGTCTTGATTTACAGTTCATTTATTTTTATCTGCCAGTCAACACACAAATACATTCTGTTACCGGCTTGGGATTTGGAAGAGCTTTCAAAAAGCAAATTATGTTTCCTGATCCCTCTTAAATTGTTACCTCTTTTCTCAAAGCCTATCATCACTTACAGTGAAAATGACATACAAGAAATTTTAGTCTAGATGAATAAAATATTCCAAGCAATAAACATATTCATCAAATCAGTTTGGCTCAGGGAACTTGAAGGGTTAAATTCTTTATTAGTCAGCAAATTCTTTGACTTTTGTAAGAAGCTAATCACCACAGTAAATCACTATCATTTACCATACTCTATACTCACTTTTGAAAATTGAAAACACCAACTCCAGAATCATCTGTTGTTGTCTGGCACTGAGAAGCTGCATTTCTAATTATTATATTTACACCAGGCTTTCCAAATTTCTCTTTTAGAGCTTGTATAGTTAATGACAGTCTGTCTTGTTGACGAACACATTGACGGCTTGGCAGGAGGTATAAATCTGGTTGGGAGGTCTTCTGCAGCTCGCTAACCCCTCAGCCTGCTGGGCAGTAGGCTTGCCACGCAAGGGGAGGGCAGCTGCCCTGTGTTCCTGTCCAGACCAACCCATCACCGAGAGCTGTGCCTGCTGTTATGTCAGCAACAGAAACAGCAGCGACATCACCATACCCTTCCTCAGGTCTCTCCAATGGCTTGGATCCTGCCATGAGTGCAAAATTTGCATGGGCTTGAGTGGCAGGATGGGGCTGTGATCTCACAGCATAGTAAGGCAACAAGGCATCACACTGCAGTATGGGGCTGCAGTCCTAGCAGGTCACACCTAGCATTCCAAATCACTACTTTGAATGTTTGGCTTGATTTAAAGCCCAGTGGACCAAAGGACCCTATTCACAAAGCTTTTAGTTATTTTACTGCAGAAATTGAGTGATGTGCTATATTTTGCGCTAGGGGAATCATAACCCAGACTGTGACATGGCAAAAAGGAGTGAGATTGATGAAACATCAACCATTTCTCTCCCATCTCTTCCTACCCTCTGCAGGTACAGCTCTGAGGCTCAGGACACAGATCTGCCTGGCCATAACGCAGATCTTCCAGTCCCCGCTCCAATCCAGTGTGCATTTGTGAAATCACAGGACAAAACCTGGCTCAGAAACTCTTCACCAGTGCAAGGAATGTCTGTCCCTGCTGACCCTGCTTACATGAGTACAAACATCTTGTTCCTAAAGGACAGCTTAGGAGCTATTTCCTTGCTAACTGTATTTGTTGAATGCAGGTCTTTAAAAAGAAACCACTGGTTTATCCTGGTATCCAGTAAGAATAAGCTACAGTATCAGTGAAGAATGCAAAGGAGTTGAGTGGTATTTATGATTCAGCAGCAAAAGCTGCCCCCTGGAGGAAAAGGTCATTAAGCAAATGAGATGCAACACAGTCCAAAAATACCTCCACACATTCCATAGTGAGTATTGTTATTAAAGTTGCTTTACTAAGTTAACCAGAGACTCAAAAACTGAAATACAGACTTTATACAGAACAAGTTGGGAGTACAAATAAACAAAGGCAATAACCTTCAAGAAATGGATTTTAGTTGTGTTTTATAAACATCAATAAATACAAAAAAAGACATGAAAATTAAAACCAAAACAAAGCAATACCATAGCTTTAAATTGTCATAATATTTATAATTTAATCAGATTTTTTAATATACTTTTGCAATAGGGATTTCATTCAGAAGTCCTTATATAATTAAAAAACAAGAAAGAAAATTAGTCAGCATATTACTGACACAAAACCAGGGAAGGCGTCACAACTAGGGCAGAAAAATGACACATCCAGTTAAAACTGTGTTACAATTTGGCAGGAATACTCTTAATGAACATCATATATGTGTGAGAAAGACACAGCATTGCTATTACAGGCAAGAAATGATGATCAAGTATCATTATCCATTGTCCAAAATGAAAATTAGTTAAAGGGGAAATGAAGACTAGAAAAGGAAATGGAAAAAAAATAAGGAAACTTTAAAAACCTTCTCTTCATAATAGTCTTCTAAGGCAAATGTTGCATGCACTACCTCCCCAAGAAACTAGACAGAGCTCTTCCATTCCGCATGTATTACCTTTCATTTAGTTTCATGAAGAAAGGTTTGAGAGAGCAGAGCGCTGGGAAGAAATACTGCAAACCTCTAAGTTAGTGAATGAACTTCCAGCATCACTATTGTATTCTGGGTAGGAGGAACTGGAAGAAATTATGTTTTTCAGCCTCTGAAGTGCAATGATCAATAGCAAAAGGAGAAAAGCTAAGAGACTAAGGAATATAGAAACATAGACATAGACATTGGATAAACGGCCAGGTGATGAATCCACTGAAGTTGAAAGGGATGTGGGATACAGCTCCAGAAAAGTCCCATTTTCCATGTTTCCTACAAATCCAGATGAAGGGTCGGGTTCTGACATTATTGTGTTGGTGTTTTAAAAATCACAACAGATCTTGTATTCAAAGGTTTTAGTAGAATAAAAAGGGTTTATTTTAAGAGAGCATTTTTCCATCACAACGGTGAGATGACAAGTCAGCCAGTGAACAAATTTATCCTTTACTGCTGAAGCCAGGACAATTTAAGATTATGTCCTTTGGAACTGCAAGGAAAAAAAAAAAAAAAAAAAGAGGCAAGATTAATACACTAGCAGATAATGTGCACCTGATACAATTTAACTCTTAAGAGTTACAAGTTATTATTCCTTAGCACAAAGCTGCAATTCTTAAACAATTGGCTAGCAACCATCTTCATATCTCAATTTTCCAAAATGCAGGGTCTAGGAGAAATCCTATTGAATCCTAATGAATTAAAATTGACTCTTCTCCATCATGAGTTGTTTAACTGAAAGGTAAAATCAAAAATGTGCTTTATATGGGACAGAGATATTGGAATCCAAATTCATCTTATGGAAAAAATTTAGTCAAGGAACGAAACTCCTTCTCAAGACTTCAGCTCCTCAACCTAGATGGATGATGAATCCATTAGCCACTTACTCCATAGTGGCTAGCCAGAGGTATGCAGAATGAGAAAATCTGCCAGACTTGCTTTCTTACTATATATTTTTAAAATGGTTTGAATCATTTCAAGTATCAAAATGCATCTTGCTGTAATTCTGCCACAGCAGATCTCAATGGCAGGCAGGTTTCAGTGAAGTGATGCAGCTTCTGATACCTACAATCAAAATCCCAAGGGAATAGGCAGCCCTGTCAGCTTAGCAAGCATGAGGTGACTATCTAACGGCAGCAAACACTAACTAGGAAGAGATCCCATCTTTGAAAAAGCTTTGCCTCCAGCCATTTGCCAGAACCTGGAAGCTCCAGTGCTGGCAAAGGTCAGAGTAGCATAGGATAAGCAGATCAGGAAATGGTAGGGTACTTTCCTTTAAACAAACCTGGTCAGTCCCCTGGTGCAGGCTGGAAGCATAAGAGAAGACCTGGTGATGGGGAATTGCTTGTAAAAAACTGACATGCTGTAGCTGAATTACATAGCATAACCCTTGCTTTTGTCTGGGTACAAAACAGATAATGCGAGTTGTACACAGGCAGGAAATTAAGATCATTCTCTCCATATAATCATCCACATGCAATCTTGCCATCCATCCATCCATGGTCAGCCCCTCACTGCAGATACCCAGGCACTGCAAGGAAAGTCAGTAAGCTTTCCTCCCACAAGGAAAACAATATCCATACAGAACTACCTTCCCAGTGTGGTTCCTCTCATCCTGACCATGCTTTCAGCCACGTCCTGTGGTCCCAGTTCAATACAATTATCTCTAACTCACAGTTAGAAGCTTTGAGGAAAATTCCACTGATTTTCATAGTGATAGAGAGCACAAACACCATCAGCATCAGTCAGAGAGACAGAATCAGATGCCTGAACTGATGATGTGACTGTCTGGAGTCTCTCCTTCTCTGTGTCACATAATGGCCCAAGTATCTATCCGGGTTTCCATGGGAGTGCCCCACTAGCGTTCCCAGCAATGACCTGCCTTATAATTTTTCCTTTAAACGTGAAACTTTTTCTAACTTTCTTCAAGTACCTCTTTCTTCAAGAGGCTGACACTTTTTGACATCAGGTGTGACCACAAAAGACCCTGAACTAAGGATGCTTAGAAAGTATAAGGTATTTAAAATTGCCAGAAGTTTGCTTTCCAGACACTGAAGTTATTTGCATAGTTACCTACTGTACTTTGGCACTGTAAATTAAATTTAGGTTATGCTAAATGCCATTAAAAGCCCTAAGTACCCAAGTAAACAAATACTACATTAAGTTGGAGGTAGAATTTAATTGTACATTTTTAAACCCTTCTTTTATTTTCCAGAACTCTGAACTCACCTGTACTACTACATGAAACAGTTCAAGGTTATTCTCTGGTCCTGGGGACAACTTATGTGTCATGCTGCATCAGGATGGCTAAACTTTTATCTGCAGGGACAGGATGGCCAAATCACAGCTGACTTTGGGAATGAAAGATGGCCAATCCTAACCCCAAATATGTCCAGGCATTGCTTGAAGGGTGCTAGCTGGCCAAAACCATGCCAGGAGGTCAGTTTGCTCATTCAACAGGAGCCTATGCCCTGGCCTGGATTAATTTACTAGTACACACACATCCATAATGCCTTTATGGACAAAAGGTTACATTCCAGATGTTATTTTATTGTTTATTGCTTTTATTGTTTTATAGTGGAGCTTTTGGTAGTCTTAAGCATCCCAATAGGCTACAAGGCATTCAGGAGTACAGAACTGCACCTAAAAATACCAGAAAAAAATATTCTTATCCTTGTGGTATACAGTTCATACTGATGCATAAAATATATTAAACCAAAACAATTTTATAACCTTAATAATATTTAGCCCCACAGGAAACAGTATTTAAGTACCTTGTGAAATAACTCATAACAGACTGAACAGAGAGAGATCCTTATGAGATTATACTCCTTTTGAACTTGTCTTTAATTTAGTGATCCAAAATTAACTAATGGAACAATATGTGTTCATTTCATGTTCTGGAAGAAGTTAAGTGTGTTATAGCTAATTTATCCTTTTTAAAAAATAAGCTTTGATATAGGAGATATTTATCCTTCCTTACTCGTCATAATGAAAAGCAGATCCATTATTAATTGAATTGCTCCATAATAACTTAAGTAATTAATTCACATGAATTCTTTAACATGGCAGAAGTTAAAAGTCTTTAAATTTTTCACAAATTTTAAACCTACTACATTCTACTTTTACCATTAACATTTCTGGCCCTGGTACAGTACACCACATCTACCACTTCAGCTGAGGTTCCTACTTCTGCTGGGAGAAGATGATAAGTGGCACAACCATTTGTCTATCTTACCCCAGTTCTCCCAAAGGAATAGACCCCATAAAGCCAGATGTCAGCTTTAACCTCATGTTTGGTTATTGGTTTTTTTGCACTTCAGAAAGTGAAATAGAACAACACTATAACATGTCGCCCAAACCTAGTCCCAAAAAAATGTCTGGAAAATTTGTCACTGACTTCAAAGCATAATGGCAAAACTGGCTAACTGCAATAAACCCATTGTCTTTGTGAGAGCCACAGACTGATCAAGGAATTTAACAAAAGAGCCAAAGTTTTCAATTTCTGTAGTGGTCTCTGCCTTCCCTTTATCTATTGTTGGAAAGCTGCGTTGGTTTAAGGCAAATAATTAATTGAAAGTGTTGTTCCTGAGTGACTGCAGATGGAGAAGAATTCTGACTCTATTTGACAGGAGAAGACTTTCCAGCTAACTCCTGAAAACTCCTGGGACAGGAGAACTGGGACCTGCCTGTGGGGGACTCAGATTTTGTGGTGTAGCCTGCATCTGGATTACTTTGTCAGAGGCACTTCTGCAATGCCAGGGTAGGGTTCTGTGACTTGAGGAGTCTACGTGAGTCATTGAGTCCTGCCCCACTGCTGAAAGATCCAAGTGCCTTTCTGACACTGGCTGATTCTTCCTGCTGCTATTACTCCATTATTACACAGCCTTGCTGCTCTGATGGACAAACTGCTTAGAAGACTCACACATTTCAGTTAAACAACTCACTGTTTCAAGAAGTCAAAGACTCTACCTCCATGCTCTGCTGGTTTTAGATGTACAAGAGAGCAAAACCTTGTTCTGTTACTTTAGTCCCCAAATATGAGGATTGGCACACGAGGAGAGGCTCTCCTAGACACATGGTGTCATTTGTACATCCTGGCTTTTCAACCAGAACTACTATTTAAGTTATTTTCTTCAAGCTATGCAATGTTTCTCCATTCATGTGGTTGGTATAAATCATCTTTCTCAGCTGAGGACAACCACTCATATTCCAAGGGTAGGCCTACCTGGCAGATACTATAGGCAGGCTCAGTTCGAGTTTTTAATATTTTCTTTTATCCTGTGCTAAGTGGGAGATAGGCAAAGAGGCACTCATCAGAAGGAGGGCAAACTGGGTAGGTGAGGGATCAAGCAAGGCATCATTATGTAAGCAGTCAGTCCCAGGTACCGTGCAGTACCATGCCTGGGTAGCCACGCCAGAGCTATTCACTGTTTGCATATTTGACAGTACTGGTCATAAAAACTATTTTGTCAGAAAATGCAAATGTGGTCAGGAGCAGAGGCCTCACAATTAGCATATGCCCTGAGTGCCAAATTATAGGTAACATATGTAATTTAATCTTTAGCATCGCTGAGACAGTAGTCATCTCCGTGTTCAAACTAAGGTGAATGTCAAGTGAGACTGCAACACTCCCCAGGACGGCATGCAGCAAACTGAGCTTTTTTATAGTCCCAATGCCATAAACGCTTTACCATTCAGACATCTGTATTGCATGCCTCCACATATCTTGATGGAATAACTCTATTTCTCCAGGCTCAGTGACATATTATTTAATGGAGCATACTCACAACCACTGAAACCCTAAAAATTGAGGAACAGGAAGCAAAGATAAGTCTGGTAGATTGAATTTCTTGGGAATTTATCAGCCATAGAAAAGCACTTTGTTTTCTTGGTTCTTCCTGTGTTTTTGTGACTACAGGCTGAGAAATACCTTGGCTATTTCAGACGCTTCAAAATGTTTCAGCAGAGAGACAGATTGACATCAAAGCAAGTTTATTTATGCAAAATAAACTAACATTTTTGTCCCTTGAACTCTTTACTTTACAGGTAGAAGGTATTCTAGAAAGCCCTTATCATAAACAACTCCTAACAGATGAGACCTTAATTTGCCTTTAGTAGTTACAACAGTGGGGTCCCTCATTTGGATAAACTTTAACATGCTGTTAATTGTACCTGCCTTCTTTCCCTAAAAATTTAAAATCCTGTTGGCTGATTTCAGCCCAATGTATACAGAAGGGCAAAGGATGAGTGCAACAAAAAGGATAGATTTAATCTTCAAAAGAGAGGGCTCTGTGAAGCTGGACAGGGAGTCCCTCACTGACCCATGCAGGACAACTGAAGAAACTTGCCCTCGTCAGATGTCTCTGGATCCTCGCAGAGGGAGCCTCTGGCCACCAAGATTTGTTGTTTTGTACACCTCGCTATCCTGTGAATCTAATTCCCATGCTAGCACACATGTGTGTCTCAGGTGACATGGAGATGAAGGTCAAAGCAGCATATCACACTAGTGGAATAATGCATCCACTATGGATGACTTGGGACCTGCCCATGATGGAGAGGATCTGGTGGTTAGCAGATCCTAGATGGCACTGACTAGAAAATGGCTAGGAAAGGGAGATGGGTTGCAGGATGGTACTCTGGGCCTGTGCAAAAATTGCTTCCTCTGTATGAGGCAAACAGCTCTTTGTTTTGGGTAGGAGAGGGGAGGCAGACGACATTCATTAAAAGTGACACTGATTATCTCTATTAAAGAACTCTCAAATGTGTTCTCTGCTCCATTTTGCCCTTTTGTAAAGTTAAAGCCAGGAGTGAGCAGATAATGATATCATTCTCTCATGACCTGAAACCAGAACCACATGGCCTTTGATCAGTATCAGGGCAGGAAGAGCAGGAGGTTCCCAGGCAATATGGTGATGCCAGCTCCAGGATGGGACCACCTCATCCCTAAAGGTGTGGCGCCCCCCACCTCCAAGTTCTGTTATTGCAGTGACTCCTTCCAAAAGCTAGCAGCAAGTTTTTACTAGATCAATATATGTATGAAGGCCAGTGAGCTTCTGGTTTCATCTTCCCCCTCACCGCCTTTGTTTTCTACATTTATTTCCTTTAGCACATAGAACTATATTACCAATATTGTCTTTCCAGCTAACTTGTAACACGAAGCATTTAATGCCAATAAAAATATGTTTGCACACTCATCTTGAAGGGCTGAATGGACTTTAAGTGGCATGAACACTTCAGCCTTGAAAGGCAATTTGCTCTAGACTGGAAAAAAATAGCAATTTAACATCATTCGACTAAATAAGATGGTAGCTCTAGAAAGAAAAAAGACGTAAATAGCATCTTATTCCATTGAAAATGTAGGTAGGAAAGGCAAAGAATGACTGCTCACTTGGAGTTTACCAAGAATATGATCCTTAATACTTCTTATTCTTGCATAAATGCCTTTGGCAATTAAAAGACCTGAAGTAAGTAGGATGCTTCTTTTTCCCATTACAGTTGGACCCTCTAGGAGCAGTGAATCCCTTTACCACTCTGCCTAGCAAACAGGATCAGCTGGCAATTGACTCAATAAAATAGAGTACAGCAGGAAAAGAAAAAACTATTTCCTGCCACAAGCAAAGTTTTCCTTTTAATTTATGATCTAATTTCATTTTTTTATTATGATTTAATATGATTTAAATTTATCTCTTTGAAAATCTAAGAGGACAAGTGCCCAGATGGCTTGGCTGAGGGTTAAAATCAAGTTATATTTTGTTTGGGGTTTTGTGTGGGGATGGGAAAAGGAAACTCTCAGAGCCATAAGGATACTTAGATTAATTCAGATAGGCTCAGATGATTCAATAATTTACATTTCCCATGGATCTGCAGACTATAGAGTCATTTATATTAATGTAAAGCAAAGACACCATGACATCAGATTAGACCCAGAACCTGCCAGTTGAATCTGGTCTTTTAAAGTAACAGAAAAATGAGCAAGGAGAATGAATAAAATACTTACAAGCAGGAAGAAGATATGGGGATACAAGCCAAATGTCCAATGCGCAGGTTGGTTATCACAGCCAAATCTAAAGGGACTGCATGGTGAAAAAAGCACCTATACAAAAGCAAATCAAAGCTTTAGTAATCAAAGTTTAGTAATAATAACTACAATAGTAATAAAAAACAAGGAGGAAAAGTGCTCAATTTTGACTGCTCTTAGTGCCAGAAATTTCAGAAAAAAACCCAAACCGACTGGAATCCTGGCTTGTGTTTTATTCCTGCTAGCGACATCCTTCTGCTGTCCAGTTACAGCACTGCATGTGCAATATAAAAACCATGATCTTGAACTCTGCTTTACAGCCATTCTTTGATAACACCTTTCTCCTCTTCTTTTGCAATGTGCTCCAGGACCAAGACAGACATCTGTCCCCTGGCACCTTTCTAAGCAACAGAGCACTGTATCTGCACTCCAATTCATTTCACATTATCCTCTAAAAATTCCTGCCAAGAATCAGCTCATTCAGATGACACACTATTATTTATTTATTCTCTTTATTTCATCTGCAATTTAAGTTCACATACCTGAAATCCCCAAACTGAATACTGTATATGCACAAGGATAATTAGAAGAATTGTGTGTGCTACTTGCATTCAATATCTAGAATTAAAATGTAGCCCCTGAACTGTTTTTACTAAAGTAAATTAAATATCTTGTATATGAAGAAACAATCCCAGAAAATGCAGATTAAAGCAAAAGTAGGGCTACTTTCAAAAAGATCCTCCCCTCTGGGAGGGAAAAGACACTTTCACAATCATTGTACATCTTGGAGCTCTACCTTTTCAGCACATTTGTTTCAACTGCTTTAGAGAAGCAGATCTCTGGGGATGGATGTTAATGCATTGTTGTGTTGCTTTTATCCCTTCAATCACTGAATCACTTATGGTTTAAGCCTCTCCAAGTTCAATATAGAAAATTATCTAATGCAGCTGTTAAAAGTCAGTACTGTTGAAATCCAAATGTTTTGATAACATTGACTATAGTAATGTTCTACCCAAAGGAAGTCAGACAGCTTCCTGACCATCTCGCTGTGCAGAAGGAGAAGTAGGAGGCTGCAGATGAGTACCAATGTCAGCTTCCCCAAGTATGGACCCAGGACATCCTCTGGATGTGAGGGCATGCACCATGCCACCTTGCCCAGAAGCAGGTAGGCTGAAGCAGGCGGTGGTACTAGGATGGAGAGGGGGTACATGAGCCCCATATACCTTTTCTCCAGCAAATATGCCTCATGTAACAAAGAGCTCTATACTGTGTCCCTCAGTTTTGTCCGCTGACAGCAGGCACCCTTTCCCTTCCCTTCCCTTTTACTTCTTTCAGAACAGCTCTCTTGAGGAAAAGAGGCATGAATCTCTGCCACAGGGACTGTATCTTCAACCAAGACAAGTATAAATGATTTTGCTTCTTTTCTAGCTTTCTTTTGTCTCTCTACCCCCAGATACACAGAGCACTGCTTTTGCCCATTTAGTCCTTCATTCACCCCAACAGCTGGCGAGGCGAAGGAAACAGAACCCACCAAGTCTTGAACTTACTGAACAAGCCAGAGATGAAGTGCAAAACACAAGGCATCCTCAAGGCTCCTTAAATGCAGGCATCTTATTCAAATGGCAAGTGTACTCAGTGAGAAGGGGAGGTCTGAGCTTTTGATTACCTTTGAAGAATAAATATCTGGACCAGTTTGATTACCTTTGAAAAACAGAGAAATATTTGGACCAGAACATCAAGAAGCTTATCTTCAGAAGACCCCTGGGCATACACAGTTGTATCCCACAGTCCTTCATCCTTCTTGCACCACTCTAATGCCCTTCAGAGCTGTTTTCACTGTCTCAGCTGCAGCACTAGCCCACAGAAGGATTTGGCCCAAACAGTGTATTCATTCTCATTGACATCAAGATATGTGAAGTAGGGACCTATCTGTTTCCTGTATCTCTCAGGATGTGAATGGGGTAAGGAATCTCACTGCTGTACATCTGGGACCTTAGATAGAGAAACGGGGTCCTTCTGGTCCTGCCTCCCATGGGAGCATCAATTTGAATCTCACCCCAAAAGACATACAGTCACCAGGGAAATTAGTCTCCTTCTTATGCTGATGTGCTAAAAATATTTTTTCCCAGTTTCATTGAAAATTTCTTGTGAAAAATTACAGGCTGCAGAAAAAAAAAAAAGCACCCAAAACTCAACAGTCAACTCCTGACTGACAATAGTGATGGGTCAGATTTCCTGATGTCCAGTCCCAGCTTTATTCCCTTCATTGGCCCTCTAACTTTTGTTACTGACACTCTCAGCCAAATTCAACCCAGTCAGAAATCTCAAAAACCTTTGAGTTTCTAAAGTTTAATGACAGTGGGTGATCAGATAGAGGGGACTTGAAGGTTCACAGAGCCATTTGGTTGCTCCTAATAGCTTTAAATCTTGGTAATTGATTTCTACCATCAAACACAGCTGCTAAGTTGTCACTGTCAAAGTAACAGATCCCCAGTGCCCAGCTGGAAAGGAGGTCCAGGGCCAGGCTAGACAAGGAAGAGGGAGAAACCAGCGGGTATCAGGAATCCTTAATTTCTGCATTTTGTGTAATGACTTCTTGTTTGATTTCCTGCAACCCCAGATTTGGAAGTTCTGTTTGAACAGAAAATTTAGTGTAGTGTGGAATGGCTGCTTAATGAGAAATGAAAATTCCATTAAAATCCATTTTCATCAGCGGAACAAGTATATGAAAATATTTCAACTGTTCCTGCTTTATTGTCTCCTTTCATGGTTGAGCCATCCCATTCCTGCTACCCCTCCTTGCCAAGGCCGCAAGTGGCTGTGCGGAGCATCCCACTGACACTGATAAGCCTTTCAGGAGAAGGTGCCATCCAGCTGGAGAGGGGGGGTTGAGGGGTGAGGGGAGAGGAACGATGATGTAATTAACCTCAGAACAAACAAAAACTAATCAAACTGTGCTACGTTATGCCTGACTCTTAACATGGGCTGCTGATAACCACCTTTTATGTTTGACACAAACAGACTGGTGCTGGGCTCCACAACTGGGGCCAAATGGCCAGTGCAGTGGAGGGCTGTGTACTGTGTTTGCCCTTCTGGAAGCCACACAGATGTCTCATGGGGCAGTGCTTCAGCTCCTCCACACCGTTTACTCAGAGTAAAACCTACCAGATAAAACATCAAGCCCCAGGGCAAGCAGTCCTTGTTATCAGAGCTTGCTTTCATTTTTTATCATGCTCACATGTGAGGCTAACAACTTGCAGGGCTCAGACCCTCAGATTCAGCATCCCTCCAGGTAAAGGGGGGAAAAAACCCTCAGAAATATCAGGCATAGTCCCTTCCATGTACAAGGAATACAGTCTTAGGACAAAATGTGGCTAAATCTGGAATTGAATGGATTTAAGGCCTCTATTGTCTCTTTCAGTGCTGCAGCACAGCAACCTGCCCGATGCCAGATGAGGTGGCTGCACAACACGAGTGTACCTGAGAGCCTGCATCTCTCACACTCCATGTGGGCACATCCACTCCCATCTCAGGAGACCTCTGTGCAGACTTCAGCAAGGGGCTCTGCTGAACAATAAGTGGCCTTTACCTTTGCTAGTCAATAGGCTTATTAGTCCTTAACTAATGAAGCTGTGACCCAGAAAGCGGAGTCCTGATTAATAAGAAAACACTTTCCTATTGTAAAATTCAGCTGACATACTGGCTTCAATGTATTTTATAAAAACAAAGGATATAGTACCTATAAAACCCAAAAATGTCAAGCAGATTTCATTTTAGCTTAGAAACCCTGACACAATATAAAGCTAGGACAGAATTTTGTATCTCTTAATGCATCATTCTGTTTCAGATTTTTTTCTCTGCAAAAAAAGGCAGATTGCAGTACCAACTACATACTGTGAACTTCAGTGCAAGGGAACTTTAGACGCAGATGTGTTATCACAGTAACTTCACTCACTATAACTCTGCTTCCAGATACCAGTGGCTCAGCGTACTTTACCGAGAAAAATAAGAAAATAACCTTCTCCCTTGATTCTCTGTTTCCCCTCACTGCTATAACAAAGATCTCTATCCTGTGACATTCATTATTTTATCAATGCAGGCTGCATGCACGCCATCCCTTGACAAAGAGACCATGGCATTATCCTATCTGTGTTTCTGTGCCTAATATTTACATATAGTCACTGTTTGCAATACAGTCTGCAACAACTTGGGCAAAGATACAACACTATTGCAAAGGGAGTTGCACTGAACCACGCTGAGCTGTGTAAGCATAAGGGGGCAGGGTTGCACCTGAAATGCCAAAAAAGAGCAAGCAAGGATAACATGGACTATGAAAGGAGACTTTCTGCTGGTGCTAGATGGAGTGATTCTGTTTGACAAGTGCCTCTCAGATGTCCTAGCTTTAGAGGACACTGTTGTGCTCAAATCCAGAGCCAGAATAATTCCAGTGACAGGGATGATGGTAGCAGTGGTGAAGATTTGTCTTAAGCATCTCACCAGACGGCTGCTGAAAGCATCACAGCAAAAGCGAATGTGCTGGGACATTTCAAAGAAATTAAAGAAATTATGGACAAGGTGCCTGCATGAAACTACAAGTAAGTGCAAGTTGGAGCTCAGGGAAACACAAAGATGATGGCTTGAGGGAGAAAGATGCTGAGAGCACAGGCTAATCAAAGCCAGTGGGGTATGTCTTGGTAAAGCCCGAGAGGTGGTACATCACAAGAGGTGGTACATCACGAATGGGGACACCTGAAAGTGAAGCCTGCGACTGACATGTCCGAGTGCAGGGGAGAAGGGGGAGCAGCAGAAGGACTGACAAAGAAGGGAGATGAAGTGACAGGCTAAGAGGTGGGCTTTGCAGCAGCGCCATGGATCGGCTATGTCATAACAGGATTTCCTCTGCGCAAGCCAGGAAAAGGAGGTAACCGCAGTCATGAAGACACGGGGAGGAATGCTTGCAAAAGAGTGGAGGAGGTAGAGGTGAAAATATATTGACTTTTTAGTAATGGACTTTTTAAATTCCAAGTCTCAAACCTATCAGAAACATCAGATTTTTCAGCAACTTCTGAATGTACTCTGCCGTTAAGATAATTCCTCTTCTTCTTCTACACAGATAGGGTGCCAGGAGGAAAAACTGCGTTGCTTCCTGGCTCTGATGAGGAATTTACAGAATAAGCTTATTTGCACTGCACCAGTAAGACCCAACTATGAATAAAGACACTTGCCAGACATGAGCTATCCCAGTTCAGCCTTTTACATTTGAATAGGTTAACAAAATGCAAACGGCAATAACTGCATATACACACAGTCATCTACACAGTGATAGTACTAGATTAGACTTTGATGCTGAAATAGCCCAGGACCCCTTCCCCACCAGTTCAAGGTCCTACAGCATTTATCCTGTTGACAGCAAAGCAGGCTTACTAGATACAGCAAGTAGCAGTCAGCACGCAGGCAAGCCTGTACACCAGAGGAGAGGAAAGCTGGGGAAACATGAGGGAGGCAGGGGTGACATGCCTGCCTTTCCTTCCCCCACCTTGGGTGACATGGATGACCCAGTCTGAGGAAGAGGTGGGGAAGGAAGGCAGTCAGTATACAGCTACAACCAGAAACAGTCCCGAAAGGGTAAAAGCCCTTCTAAGTATTATAGAGAGAAAGCAGCTGGTGGTTTCAGGTTGCCTTTCGTTTCGGTCTGTTCAGGCACAGAAAAGTCATAGTGGGTTCAAAATGACTGTAAAAAGCAAAATCACAAGGAAACAGGTATCGACCCTCCATCTGGATACCTTATCAGAATAAAACTGCCAGTATGACATACATCTGTAGGGTCCAGATTTTATACATCTCCACTTTTCTCCCATTCTACTGTAATTAACTAAGATTAAATGATAGCCAATATGTATTCCGAACTGTCTTTGCTTATATAAATGTTAATCGACATGGCACACGCTCAGCCCTTTACCACTATTTTCACAATTTTCCTCCAACTGTTTAGCATTTGCAAGGGTAGGAAGAGTTTGCTTTCTGCTCCAAACTTTATTACCTCTACCAAGATGATGTTGTAACAGCCTGCAGCTTTTGGCTAGATATAAAGTGTTTGGAAAAGGCACATTTTTATGCACCCATCCTGTTTTCTTTTTCTACTGCTGTGCTGTCTAAGCTCAGCTCTTTTTTCAGTATGTTGGATAGGCATGTTACAATTTATTTGCAGAGGGAGCAATTCTTTTCCCGTCATCTTCCCGCAAACAATGTGAAAGAGCACACGGATGGCAATCTATGCTTATGCTCACAGAGCCAAGAATGTGCTTGCACAGTGATGACCCAATGCTCTGCACTATCACACCCCTGGTCTGCAGCATCTTTCAGCAATGGAAACCAGCCTGTGCCTCCCTTCTCTCCGCATCCCTCCTTCCAGAACCAGCGCAATCCCCATGCTGTCCCCACGCTCTATCAGTGCGTTCCCCTTTCGGCCTCCAACAAAAGCGATTTCTCTGATCCGAAGAAGCGTTCATTCAGTTCAAGCACTTTGACAACCCACGAAGTCAGCTAGGCTAGAAACAGGTTCTTTACAAAACACGTTTGCGAAGACAGGCCTAACACGTACCTCAGTTAAACGCTTGTGAAAACCAAATGCCCTTGGTTACGGCACAGGACAGGCAAACCACTGAGAAGGCTCTCTCGGAGCAGCAGCAGCACCGGCGAGGCACGGCGGGCGCTGCTCCTGAGCTCACGGCGGCTTCCCAAGCCCGCCGGGACCCGGCTCAGCCGGTGCCGGACAGCGGGAGGAGCAAGCCCCGGCGCAGCGGGACGTGCGAGCAACAGCGCCCGGCGGCGGAGCAGCCCTGCCCTCCCAGGGCACCAACAACGCGCACGGGGTACTAGGACAGGGAAGAAAAAAAACCCAAGCCCAGAGTGCCCACCTCCCTTGGCAAAGGGAGACGGCTGACCCCGCCGGGATGCTCCGGCTCAGGCGCAACCGGCAAGCGCGGCACCTTCCTGCCCGCAGCCGCCCCGCTGGGGCTGGGGCCGGGGCAGCTCCGCTCTCCGCTCTCCGCTCACCACGCCCGGCTCCCACTGCGGCTCCTCCTGCCCGGCTCGGACTCCGGCTCCGTTCCCGGATCCCGCTGCCGTCCGTCCCGCGCGGCCGCCAGGGCGGCACCGCCCCGGCCCGCCCCCCGCCCGGCCCCACCGCCCCCCGCCCGCTGCCTCTCACTGCTGCGGGGCCGCGGCGCAGGAGGGCAGCCGCTGCCGCATCGCCCCGCACGGGCGGTCCTCTCCCCGCTGTCAGGGGCTGAGGGCTGGGGACTGGGGGTCGTCCCGCCCGCGCGGCGCGCCCTCTGTGTGCGAGCCTGGGAGAGGCGCTGCACTCACCTGGGAGGGAGGCGAACCCCCCGCCTCACTGGCGTTGGAGGGTGGAGGTCACCGGGCATCGTGACAAACCCGCCCCAACGCCTGGGTCTTACCGTCCCACGGCCGTCCCACAGCATACATCCCCGGGGCTGATCTTTTCCCGAAGAGATCGTGTGAAGTCCGTACGCCGCAGGGCAGAGTGACCCGTGGGAAACGCAGGCTCCTTCGTCTACAAAGGGTCAGATAGCGGCAGCACAGCCGGGAGCTGGGCACAGAGAGGGAGTGGGTTAGAAAAGAGGCGCCCTGGGAAGTGGAAACTTGCAGGTGTCTTTTGAAAACTCTTCCAAGTTTTCAAGGTCTCTCAGGGATAGTCGGACATCATGTACATGACAGTGAATTAATTGTTATGCCAGGACCAAGTGAGATAATGACCATAAGGCAGTGTAAGTGACAATAAAATCTCTCCTCTCTAGTTTATTTGGAGCATGACTTACCTACAGATATCACATGCTCTGGAACCAAATAGTGAGAAAATGCTGGCTGGATCAGACACATTTCCTTCTGTGGACACTGTGGCAAGAAAGGCTCAGCTGGCTTCTGGTATACTTGTCTCATCCACTATGATTTTTTTTGGCCAAATGACTTTACTGTGGGTTAGAAATCAGTGATGAGCACTGTGAAGAGCAGATGGGGAGTATAATGCACCCTCTGCAGCTCAGTCTTGTATCTGGCTAATGTCCATGTGAAGTTCTGAAAGGATGCTGGGAAAGGTTGTTCTTCATTTTAAATTGCTCTTAGGGAGCTGTGCAGTTCTTAATGTGCTGCGGAGGCACTTCTGTGAATTGTGCTTTCTTTGATACAGTCTACACAGTTTCAGTAGAAGAGTAACTTGGAATTTCACAGAACAGTCAGTTTTGGAAGAACAAGACATATGAATAAGTAGATAAAAGTTAAAGGAAAATCATTCCCAAGACTGAACCATATTTCTCCTTGATAAAACCGGTGAGTGCAGTGGCATAAAAAAGATACAAGGTTGGCTTTCAAGTGGCAAAAATGCTCTTTCTGTATTTCACCTCTGAAAAAGGAAGTAAATGTTTTTGTGGATTTGGGGGTGTTTTTTTATGTGGGTATGGCTTTTCAGGATAGAAAGTGATGTGCATGGTATATGCACACAAAAAGCATAGCCTATCTTTTACTGCTATGATATCCCTAACCTGGAAGCAGACCACTGGCTCACTTCAACTTGTAGCCACACTTGACAGTGAACTTGCTGATTGCAAGAGCTTTTGTGGAAATAATACACAAAGCCTGTTGAAACTGGAGGGAAAGAAAAATTGTAGACACCTACTACAGTACTGGCAATGATTAGATTAGTTGTGAAGAATCCTGCTGAAGTCATTTTTTAAAATACCAAGAATTTGCTATATCCTTTCTTATTTGTGTACTCAGACTAGAGGATTCTTCAGTACAAGCCCTGTGCCTGGGATGTCACTGGATATAAACAGAGACAGATGGTGCATTAAAGTTCTCAACATTGATTTTGCATATAGATAGGAGCCCAGGTACAAAACTCTAAGGAGACAAGAGAAGCAAAAGTGGTAAAGCAAAATGATTGGATCTTGAAAAAAGAAAGAAGCCAAGAGAAATGCTTCTGTTATAGCTCTATTGTTCTAGCAGTGGAATTGCAAACTGGGACATACATCAAGAGTGTCCCCAAGGTCAAGCAGGAGGAAGACAAGGAAAGGCAAAAGCAACAGAGCTGAAGTGACTGCTAAGCCAGGCATGCTGTTGCTAGCACTGGCCACAAAAATCAGTGTTTTCTAAAGAAAATGAATTGTGATCCCTTGGACTTCTATCACTTTACTGGATTTTAGTTCAAAGCCTAATCCACTAAGGAATGAGGAAGTTCTCAAGTGCTTCCTACTGATGACCGTGCTTATGCCACATCATCAGCCATAATAATCCTTGACTCTAGAAGAAACTCAGAAGTCAGATCCAGATCTATCCAGTAAGTGTCACAATCTCAACCTACATGACGTTGGTTAGGTCAATCTTGTACAGATACAAAAGACATACCAGTACTTGGGCAATGAGTGGGAATTCATTTTTGCAGCTGTGGTCTGATTTTTCACTCTTTTCCTGAATAAAGCAGCTCTCAAGGGGAGGTGAACAACACTGCTAGAAGAGGTACAATTTGTTCAGCAAAGGAGAACAGGGCAAAAAGGCTTTTGTGCTTCTTGGAGGTCATTGGTATTTCTTTAAGTGTTTTAGCTTGAGTTACATCACTTATGTCCTGGTGCTCTTTGTGGCTTGTTCATTTGCCGTGAGCTGCTCAGTGACATTGGGTAAAGCTGCACCAGAGGAGTTGTCAGCAAGATCAGGCCTCTCAGTCAACTCTGGTGGCTGTGTCAGAACCTCATGCAGAGGCCATGGTAGTGGGAAGTGCTGCAGCTCCAAAGTAATTAAGTTGCTCTTTTATTGCTCTTCCTCCTTCTGGCTTTTTGTGCAAACAGCACAGTGTGAGCTGGCCCTTCCTCAGGATGGTGTCTTTCATGCAAAATGTGTCTCAAAATGTTTTGCAATGATAAAATACACCAATGGAACATTAAACAGAAAAATGGGAAGACAGATCGTTTCAGAGAAGGTTTGAAAAAGAGATGACAGTACAGTAGAAAAAAAGCAGAAAAAATATATAGAGTCTTCAGATGGTGAGAATAAAAAAAAAAAAAGGTAATTACAAATCCACTTTTTTTCTTTTTTTTTTTTTTTTTAGTGCAGTTGCAGCCAGATAAGTACTGACTTTTCCTTGGAGTCAGAGTGTCAGGTTGAAGGTCAGAAGAGTGTATATGGTTGACTCTGAGGTTCTGGCCTGGAAAGGGCACATCAAGGAGACACGGCTTGACTGTTGCTGTGTGAGATTAGGCCTCCAGAGCAATGTCATTCCTGCTGCTACTGGGCTGCCTACAAGACAGCATGGCTGTAGTGAATTTAATAGCTTTTCTGTCTTAGAATGCAGAAAAGTATGGGAAATTCCAAATTACTGTTATTATTATTACTGCTTTGGTGGTTCTGAATATGATTTCCTGTACCTGCTCAGAGTCATTAGGTGGTGGAGTAAGCAAACAGTTTCTTAATTCCTCCAAGCAGCAGGAATGTCTGCCGACAGAGTTGCTATAACCATGCTGTCTGCTTGGCTTCACTGTCTTTTCTGCTTTAGTATTCCATCCAGGTGTACCACAGTTTGGGGAACTTCAAAGAAGTAGATGGAATTCCAGCCTTCTGCAGGCTATTACAATGTGAAATACTGAACATTTTATATTGTCATGAAATCAGTCACCAAAGAAATGTTTTATCCAAATTTCTCCCTTTATCTTTGTGGTTAGAATCTGTGCCTGGCAACTTTTTATCCTCACAAAGACACAGTAATTTATTTATTGAAGTGTATGGTTGGATGCTGGTCAGCCAAATTATGCATCTAACAGAACCATATCTTAGGACTCTGGAGCCCCTGGTGGTCCAGTGGTAAAGGCGCCGCGCTATCACCGTGGAGACCCGGGTTCGATTCCCGGTCAGGGACACTCCCGGGCAGGTGGGGCTCGTTAGCCCTTAAAGGCAACCCACCTACGTCCTAAGGACCTCGCTGCCACCGTCCAAGCTCGCTTGGCCCCGGCAGATGAACCTTAGGATTAAAGGGTGGGCTCAGTTCCGCGCACACTGTGTCTCACCTAAAAAATCCAATGCGCAGGCTGGAAGGTGGAAAGACCTTCCCCGGATCTTCGCTCGCGAAGACTGGCCATTATTATTTATCTTAGGACTCTGAAGATAAGTCTTTCTGAAATGTTTAAATTCCCTTTGTTGTCAGTGGAAAGTGTCAGGTGATCATGAAAACCTCCAGAGGGAGTTCTTACTCATCGAAGTTTGAGTACAGGCGTTAGGTGTACATGACCTTTTCTGGTGGCTTTAAAGCCATTTATCTTTCTCCTTTTGACTACCTAGGGAATTTAGGGACTTCCTCAGAAAGGGCTGCTTTGCTACACTCCTAGGATACAGAAACATAGCAGTTAAATAAACTAAATCTCACTCAAGAAAATCAGATCCTCATCTGTCCAGCTGAGATATGCACTTTCAATACATACATATAGAAAATGCAGTTCTCCTGAGAGCCAGGATAAAAATAAACCCCTCTGCTATTTAGAAAGATAGTCCTTTCCCCGGAATGTTGGCTCTGCCCTTGTTCTTCACAGAGC